AGAAGCCTCTGGCGATCTCGGGGGTTGACTTAACTCAGTTACAAGTTCAGAGAGCAAAGTTTACTCCCCTATAAAGAAATCTTTTCTTTCTAAAGCGTAAAAAAGAGAACTAGGTAAAACTGAATCACTACAATACAAAATACGGAATGTAAAAATTGTTTACATCTATAAAGATACAGAATATGTACTATTCAAGGTCGAATAAAAAATACTAGTAGGTACAACATTAGAACTTATTACTTTATGCATATTGGTCTAATACACTAGAGTGATTAAAATAAATGTAAACAATGCCAAAAACTGCGAATGATATGAACATTGTTAAATATATGAATGTGACCTTGTCACAAATGTTAATAATCATGCCAACTAATCTTTTCTCATGACTTTAGACGTTTGTGTCTACACTATACTACAAATATAAAGAAAAAAAAAATCAATAAACATATATCAAGGCACATATAATATGTTTAAGCTCTCAAAATAAAATATAACATCTACATAATTAATTATTTTATACCATTATCAAAATAGTAGCGTAATAGTATTATGTCTTTATGGAATATTTAATAAGCAACAGTAATATATTTCATATTTGGAGTGCGACGACCTTTATAAGGAGGTGTTGAAAATTTCTTCATAATTGCTCCTTTCATTGAAACATTCGTAAGGGTCTACTTAAAAGACCCTCGTCCCTTTGGGCGATTTCAACTGGCAGCAACTTGGTAATTAAGCTTATTTCCTTTGGTTGTTTTGTCATTTGCAACAATTCCATGCTTAGTTACTCGAGTAGATTCAGCGCGAAACGTGCCTCATTTGATTTGTGACCTTTGACGATGTTTAAAATTAATGATTATTATCTTGATAGCGTCTTTCGTATTGTACTACGTAGTATCAATACGCTCATTGCGAAGTAATGCAAAATATCTCGAATTCGATCCGCATATAACATTGTGGACTAGACAGATAAGAGACGTTCAGGGCTTCGAGCCAACAAGTTTGGAATAATTGAAAAGCACGTTCCTAAAGCCTACGGAAAAGAATAAAACAGTATCTGTTTAATTCACTTGCACCGGGACCTGTTTGCGGTTTCTGGTTTGCTGAACGTGACCAGACAGTGGTTCGTGGGTACATAGGAATGACCACGCCAATTGCAGCAAAAATGCGAAACGCTAACAATGTCACCTTTATATTGTGTTATTTATTAAAGTGAATAACATTGATTTAAAAAATGATAGATTAGATTTTAAATATCAAAAATGACGGGAAATTGTTTTTATCGATATTGTAAAGATAGATAGCACTTATGCGGTGGCTAATTACGGCGCATTGGTGAGTCAATTTAGAAATTTGTGTATTGTACAGAATTATTATCATACCAATTAAAATTAATATATCTGCTACAGTTCCAAATCATACCTACACAAATAGTTCATTAGAAAATCAACAATTTTCGACAGATAACAGTCTCGTAAAAAAGCTTTATAGAATAAAAAGTGTGTATATAACTTTAAAATTATTTCTGCTTTTATCTTTTGCCACTCAGTAGGGAATACCTAAAACAATATAACAAATTACAATGTTTTATGGCGTGCGCGTGTAACATAGGTTGTCTTTGCCAAATATAAAATATAAACACTATCGATTATAATATTTTATAAACGTGATGTGTCATTTATGAATGACCTATGAAATGTGTTTTATTAAATCTAAGTCACGCGACACTAAAACTATTTTAGTTGGCGTTCCAGGAGGCGTGTCTCCGATATTAATACACGTGAGTCATCTGGCTGTCTGAAAGCTCTGTCTTGTCCCACATCCTTCGTACCGTTCGTATTACTCACACCGAGTAACCCGGAATTGTTTATATAGATGACATTCTAATTGTGTTTATTGTTAGCTGTATAATAAATACTCTTGTCTGAATAAAAATATTGACATAAATAAATTCTTTATATAATATTTATTATTATTAACTAACCTATACCCAATATAAAGATCCATCTGCGATATTTTCTGTAATCTACAATAAGAAAGTATTATACAAATAATATCATCAAAGTGACTATGATATTAAAACAATATAAAACAAATATGATCTTTTATGTCTAAAATTAATCACACACATAAAATTTTTGAAGCTACATCTATGGATTATAGTAATTGAATTGTTTTAAAGAATGAAGTTATTTCTTTTATCGATGTAAATTGTAGACATTTTCCATTTACTTCCTCGTCCGCATTGAATCGGTCATTGCAAGGTCTTGTATTGTTTCAACAGGTTTTATTGATTTACTTCCTTGGTAAATTATGACCAGACAAATGTTAAATCCGCTTCCGTTTAAAAATAATACATACAGTTTTCCAAGAGGATATAATAATGATTTGAAAATAAAAATATTTTCGAATTATTTTCTGTATATAATAAGGCATAGATTGTCTACGTTAACATGACACGAACCTTGAAATTTTTATACAGATACAGACCATATACAGATGTGGTGTTCGGTTTGTGTTTTTGAGGAAATGTCTGCAGTAGCGATATGGCCGGAGGTGTATTATATTTCTTGGTCGAAAGCTTGTAAATATACTCGCAAATCTTTAGTTTTTGAAGGGACGTTTTAAAATATAATTAAAAAGGGCTTTTATGTAATATGTTTAAACAATCTAAAAATAGCCCATGTTCTTTTTCATTCCATATAACTATGTGTAAATATAAGTTTTTTAAAAATTTTATTTTAAAATTCAGGTAAATCAATTTTATCCCCTTCGTACTCCCCCTGTGACTTTGTGTCGTTTCCACTGTGAGAAGGCTCCTTGAAAGTCCTCTGGTTGTAGGTTTCTCATGCTTTTTTTTTATTGTCCCCCAAATGCCGATACCAATTTGGTTTTTGGGAAAAGAAGTAGCCAAATCCGGCGAATGTGTTTTTTCATTTTTCCAAAAACTCACGGAACGATAAAATAGTATTTCGTGTATACTTCAAATTGACCGTTAAACGACGGTCCCCATTAACACAAGTTCGAATTCTTTCCACGTTTTCGTATGCTTGGAAGGACTGAAATAATTAAACATATTCTTCACAGCATCATCCCCATAATGTTCTGAGATCGGCAAAAATAATAATAATAATTCGATACCTAACTAAATAGTTAGATATCAATTATCCTCTTTCTCGCATTCCAGAACACTTTTATACGAACTTTCCGGACAGACCTCGTATACCAAATTACTGAGATTACGAGTAAGAATATGCTTAACTAAATAGTTAAACATATTCCTATTAATGTTTAATAATAATAATAATTGATACCTAACTAAATAGTTAGGTATCAATAATTGAAGATAGAGTAGTAGCCCTGTTTACATTGTAAGTATACGCCGGGATACCAAATTAGTAGGTATCTATATCTATATATCTCAATAGATATATGCCGGCATAAATGTATAAACCGACATAAATATAGTGTACATTCTAGAGGAAGTAAGCTGTTGACTACTATTCCCCCATTATGCGATACAATTGATGAATGGGCCAACGCGAGCATGTGTGCTTGAACCGAATTCAATTTGATCCCTTTCAATGCTAACCCTTACGGGTGAATTGCAGCATTGATTTGAATCAGTAAATAAAATCAGACTTTATAGAATAATACGAACGGACATCCTGTCATTAAAAATAGGTATAGCAGACTGTTTTGAAAAATCGCCATCAAGAAGCATCGTAACTTAGCTTATCATAAAATAAACTTTAGATAAATTAAAAATTCATGTTACAGATGTGCTTAGTGATGATTTATTAACAAGCTGTAGAATTTGGCGATAACCTTTGGAGGAAAATAGTTTGCACACTTTGCGTTTTGTTGCATAACATACATATATTACTGCTTTGCGAACGCTATGGCATGTAATTTGCTAAGGAACATAAATGTCTAACAACGTTTCGTAAGCAAGCAAAATATGCAAATAACTTGCAAAAATCTCTTTAGTTCGCAAATCAACACGAGGGTAGACTATGCTGGTCGACGTTTAATTATGTAAATAAAATTTCATGCATAGCAAGGAATCGTTAAACAATGTGCCAGATGAGGCCACCCTTTCAGAGTAAAAGTTGGAAAGGCGCTGCCGCAGGCTATAACCGGATTGTAGTCCATTATCTTTATTTTTATAAACACAACATTAATTTTAGCATCATTAATTATAACTGTATTATTATTTAATAATGAGATTGTTTAATTTTATTGAAATCGTGGACTAGCTATTACAAATGCTAGCTACTAAAAATAGGTAGTTTGTGTAGGTACTTTATTAAACTGCTGTGTTTACGTAAACATTTCTTGTGTTTGAATCCTTTTGAGCTGTTAGTAATTTAACCCTTAATGAGAGCTTGGCGAGAGTCCCTTCGTGTCCGGAGGCGCGGAAGCGGGGACTCATCACCGGCTCTAATGGCCTGGAATCACCCTTCGGCTTAACAGATATCATCTTATTTGATTCAGATTGAGGTTTATACGGGATCTATTTTTTAACATGAGGCATCTTAAATAAATACTCTTTGTAATAGGTAAAATTACTTACCTAATAAAAGAGGATTTATTTGAAATTAGAATTATGCAAGGTACACGATGTAACTCTAAATCGTCGCATAAAAATTTGTCTTCGTACACACTAAATTTAGCAGTGTCCCTCGAAATGTTATCACCTCATCGTATTGGCGATGCAGGCACAATATCTCATAATATTCTTTATATCCGTCCCCATAAACACAAACGGGTCGTGGTAATGACGCCCCATTGAGGGGAGAGGACGCCTAACCGCCCGTTACGGTCGCCGGATATGTGACCGCTGCATTTTATTACCACTTTACTCTGCCACATAATCGACTTTCATGATGAAGGGCTTCTTTCCGACTAATAGTCACTTGCTATGCAATGACTTATCCCGTCCCGAATCTCCTGTTTATCATGTGAAGTGTTTTGTTCATAGGCGAAATTTATTGTTGCAGGTCGAGTTCATAGAAGCATACTGTACACCTCGTGACACAGCTCGACGTTCGCCATTGCGCAGTCGCCGCTCTAGAGAGCCGCGCCGATCACCAGATACATACAGATGGAGACACGAATCCCGCCGGTCGAACTACGACTTTGACTCGTGTCGCCGACCTTACGATTACGAGTCGAGGCGATATTTTGGCCGAGAGTACGACGGGGATTCGGGAAGACGCGTGGAATTCGACGCGGAATCCGCAAGGCGACGCGCGGACTACGAGTCTGCTAGAAGAACAGATTTTGACTTATCCGCTCCGGGAGTATCCCGGCGGAGCCCAGAAAGTGCACCTGAGGGTTCAGCGGATTCTCCACCTGAGCCGGCGCCGTCTGCACCTTTAAGACACGAGAGATCTCGTCACAGATCACAGCCATATTACGAATCAGGTCAGTATATTCAAATGTAATTTAACTTTTCACGAGGAAAAATTGACCCATATACGTATCAAATTATAAACACAGAATGATGTAATTTAGTTAAAAGGAAATTGATAAAGGCTTTATTTATTTTTTAATTTTTATCAACTATAATGTTATATACACCATTGCCCTCGTATATTTGTAGAAAATTCTGAAGTGGTTTATAAAATTCTGTTAATTATACTTTATAGTCATAATATAAAATATGAAATTTGATGACTTCGTATATATTTCGCAACTTCAAAGGTCAATTGTAATTGGTAAATCATTATATGAGTTACAAATTGGATAGTGTTACAGCTACCAGATCAGGCAGTATATTTGGACCTATAATTTAGCAATAGTCTAACAAAATATTTATTTATTACACATTATGAGTGAGTATTTTACTTCTGTTGCATTCCTGAATTGTTTTGGCTTCTAATTTTGTAGATAAATATTTTGTTACAATCTTAACACGATACTATGGTAGGTATTGTATTACTGTATGTAACTCAAGATTAAACTCAAGGTTAAATTTAGTGATACCCCGCAGAGAAATTCCACTAATAATTAAATAAACATTGTGTTTTTTTAAAATGTTTCAGTATATGTCTAGTACTTTATGATTTATTTGATTTTAATAGTTTTTTCCACGTAAACTTATAACTTAACAGTTAGGATAAAACCTACTCATGTATGGAATTTCATTCAAATACGTTCATGTGTTTAAGCGTAATTGAGTAATAAACATCCAGACATCTTTACAAATTTATTAGTAAGATTACTTACATACCTGTATTACGACACATTGCATATTTAATAATATGTAGGTACATGCATGTTCTCACGTTACGACCACCATCTCATCTCGACCAGGACAAAGGGTTCCTTTCTTCCAACAGAACAATTGCTGTGCCTAGCAAAACCATTGTTACATTCGCAGTAGTTTAGAGGTTGTTCTTAGCCATATCCGTTTCTGCATTATTTGTATATTTAGTGTTAACCACATCTTAAGTGATTCTCAAAAGGCGTAGATTCTCAATTTATCAGATGTGTTTTGTTTAGATTACGAACTGATTTTAATATTTCTTTTTTTTTTTATTGGTCGTTTACTTCCGTCTTAACCTTATATTAATTTTGTCATTATAGAAATTAGTGTTTTTCTTTACTGGCAAGATTTATTTTATAACGATACTATAGTGTACATAATTAAAATTTGTGTTCCACAAAAAAAAAAAAATAGAACAATTTCAATTACAATAAAACATATTATTTTGATCTGAAACTAAACTACTGAATAAATTTTGATAAATATATAGCCTTTTAGATAAAAAATAATTTTCTGAATTAGTTTACAACTGAAGGAGTTATGAGGTACTAAACATAAAAAAATACAATCGAATTAAGATGCTCTTTTTTTTTAATTCCGTTGAGGACCTACTTGTACAAACAAAACAAAACAAACAAGAGTACAGATAGAAACATTAGGAAAAATATAACAATTCGTATGTAAAATATTGGTGAAATAATTAATATTGTTACTGAACGGTAATTTAAAAAAGTGTCTTTAAATACAGCATCCAACATTTTCATTGGCAGTACGTACATCATATTTAATTTGTCATGGTACTCGAGCGCACAGTTATTGCGGTAACAATAGTCACTTTTAATCAGTCCTTTGTCGTTTGTCCGTTCGTCTAGACTAGACTGTGAGGACGTAATAGGCTGGGATTCTGATTACATTCTTTCAAAGGAAATAATATCGATATAGTTGAGTCATAATTGTCATGAGACTCGTTTATATTAAGTAAGAATTGAATTGATAGGTAAAATTTTATGCCACACGTGTGTTTATTTAGCATATTTGATAAGAGATATTACGCATAATGTCTAAGTAGGAACAAATAATATTTCATATAAATATTTATCATTACGTCAGTGGTTTAATAAGTGTTTTTATTTTATCGTGACATTGTATAGATTTATATTCAAGTTATCTGTGTCTAACTTGAGATTTCATCCGGGTTGACAAGTATTTTTATCTGCTTATTGAATTTATATAATGATTGATATTTTGATTGAATGATATTTTATTCCTTAGTTTAGTATCATAAATGTGCAAGTTTGTGAAGATGTTTCGATGTTTATTACCATTAACTTCTAAACAGATAACCGAATTTAAAGTTTTAATACACAGATGAAAAATATTTCATAATAATATTTTTTTTAATCTCAAGTCACATAAGAAAACCTGGTTTACACATACCTACAGCTTTTTATGTTATGTTTTTTTTTATGTAATAATGAATAACTGCGCTATCGGTATACCAGTGACACGCTGGTAGGGCACCAGTGAAACAGGTCAGTTAGCCCAATGTGACGAATTCTACAAGAATTAACCACGATGGTTTCCAGGAAGAACCGCGTGGAGGTCGACCTGATAAGATATATTGCTAACAACATGGTAGTTAGACACCATTACTAACTATCCTTTCTTCCCAAACTGAGAATTATTAATATCCATTGAGATTATTATAGGATAGAATAATAACAATTTGTATTTTTTTTCTAACCATTACTAATAACTGTTACATGTAAAATTTTTAAATGTACTCGTACAACACAAAAAACATACAAAAGATGCGTATACCAACGTAACCAACTCAGGTCGACCCCCCCGTGGTCCCCCCTGGAAATCATCGTGATAAATTCCAAGTGTATTCATCACGATGGGCTAACTGACCTGCATTTTCATCCTCACCTATTATCCATCACTGGTGCCCCGCCAGCGTATACCGTTAGCGCAGGCGGTGTTACCATTTCGTTATCATTCATTAAAAAAAAAGTAACTAACTAATTACAAAGTAATCTCAGTATGTACTTACCTATTAACGATTCGTTTGAATTGGAATCGAAAATTGCTAAAATCTCACACCCACATTTAACCTTACAAAGGCGACACGTTTCAAAAATACATTTAACACGTTAATCGCGGCGATTTAGCAAATTTCACGTCGCGGGCCTGGTCATCCACGCGGAAAAGCAATTACGTGGCGTAATGACGTCACTTACTCTCCCTCCGTGCTTCAGCGGCGCTAATAGACAATTTGCCCAGTTTTTGACGTCGTTTTGTCCCAGTGACGATGGCGTTATGTTGCGTTAGCAATACCTTCTCTGTAACCATGTTGGCATCTACATATAATTTTGTTATATTGGCAAGAAAATACGGTATATTATAGTGAATAAAAATAGACATTGAAGGTTTTAGTTTAATTTTTAAAGTCATTAATATAATTGTTTTATTAAGAGTAACAGAAGTCAAAACTATTTTTTAGAATGTTTGTGTTTGTCTGTCTATATGTTTGTTACGACATTACGCTGAAACTATTTCAACAAGATTTTCACAGTTTAAAATCTGATGTATATTTTATTTGTAGATTAATTCATCATTTACAAGTAGACAGGTACGTTCCACATTCCATACATATGAAGTTGGGGAAAAAAGCTAACAGTTAATATTAAATAATACTTCATATTTGCAGCATCTAGATATAAGGAATATTTAATCCAACTCATAAATTCAAACGAAAGCATTCAAAGCTATAAAAAACAATAATACTATATTCTGAAAATAATAGAGTAACAGAAAGTATGGAATTAAAAGTGAGTACCGAAAGAACAAAGGGTTTGTGGTTTAGCGAAAGCATTAAAAAAAGTTTATTAAAAATGGCAAGCCATACTTGGGCTACGATTCGTTAGTTTTTTGCTATCGTCGTTGCTCGAGGGTTTTTAAATCTCGACTTTTTTATGTTCACGATGCATTCAGAAGAGTCCTTTGTTGTGCGAAGCAAGAAATTCTCATTAGGGTATTTCCACGTACCTTTGAAATAACATTAGCCTCGCATGTGCTGGGGCTTATACAATCATTAACTAACGTAAAAATTGTTCAATGGGATTGAAATAGGAATGCAATTATTTATATAAAGATTTGTGGATTAATTTGATAAGTGAATCAAGATTTTTAATTAATTGTAACTTCTATCAACATGCTCAAATATAACTGGATTTTTTATTACTACAGATTGGACTTATTGAAAATATTCGTTTCATGATTTATAGTGGTTTATATTTTAGGAAATCGTATTTAGGTAGGCATTATAATGTTTTGTTATTAAACAATAATTCAAAGACAGAAATACACAATAAAATTCATTTTCGCTTGTACATCAGCAGATATTCAAACAATAACAATAAAGCAGTTTCATTAATCATTAGTACTATTGTCCCATGAATAGGTAGTTTTGAGATCTCATGGAAGACAATGTTTATCAAATCCTCTAACAATCGTGTATTAAGTAAAAACGACTAAAAGATAAATATTTTTAGGTTTTATTTTACCATGTGAATTTTATGTATATTCGTAGGTTCGTAAGTCAGCAGACATGTCTATAGAACTTATAAAAAATTGAAAGAACATTCAAATTATAAAATGGTACTTGAGACGCTCGAGTGAACTTCGATTGTAGGGAGAAATGTCATTTCTTTGTATAGCTTGTTGTAGTATTTGTCTTAGGTATTTTATATATATTTCTTATTGAATAGTTTTACTGTATTTTTTTATTTTAGAAAAATGTATAACTTTAGATAAAATTATAACATTATTTTTATTTTGTTTTAGAATCATCGTCAGAGGATAGAACGTCATCTACAGAAGAGGAAGAAGACGAATTTGGTGAATTCGATCCATTTGCAACAGCACCTTCACTTCATTCACCAGACAGCGGACGATCAGATCCTAGATACGCTAACGCACCACGGAGAAACCCGAGTCCTTATTATTACGGAGATTTATTTAAGACAGCTCCACCGCCACCGGCTCCTTCAGCACCAACCATTTCAACTACATCATCATCTCGTGGACCACGTTATAGGAAATCAGCTAGCCTAGACGCGCCTCACGTAGCTCCAAGGCCTAATCTTCCAAAACGATTCTCTGTAGCTGAAGATGGTTTCCGTGAGCTAGAGCGGTCATCATCTTCGTCAGGTGAGAGCGCGTGGATGCCGCCGAGGCGCCGTGGGCGCGACGCGGCCGGCTGCGCGTGCGCCGCGCCCGAAGATGTAGAGGAGCATCGATCTTCTCGCAGCGTCTTTTACGTGCCGGCGCCGCTGCCACGCTGGCCGCAAGAGATGACCACTCGACAAATTTATGAAACTGCTTTCGATTGTAAAATTGCCAGATCTGATGATGATTTGGATGACTTCGATCGTGTTAGCAATCATCCAGCTTTGTTGCAAGCAGAGGAACGTAAAATTATTTCTTCTGCATCATCGGCTTTTGAAGCAGTTGAGCGAAGTGAACCGGACTTTAAAGGTCGTCGTAAAGTGACAATGAAGACAGATAGTGTTAGGCGCTCTAAGATTCCTACAATTCGTCAAAAAAGGGAAAATGATGGCAATGCATGTGCTCTGTCAGAAGAATTGGAGAAAATTCACATAGAAGAGGAAGATCGCGCATCAACTTCTCAATTACCTCTTAGAGGATACACACCATCGCCACCTTCGACTGCACCTTTACCAGCGAAATTTCAGAAAGATGGATCTGCAATGAATAGTATAAAAAGTGCACCTAATTTACCACAGTCACAACCAGCTCATCCCCGATTGAAAGATTTGAGGTTACCTGTAAAATCATTACGAGCTCGAGAGACTCCAACAAGCAGCGATGCAAGTATGGCAGATGTAAAAGGTTCAGCATCGACGGAATTAGATATGGGCCAACGTCTTAGAGATTCTGGCCGTGAATCCCGTGATGATGACGATGAAAGACAATCCAAAGACGGTATTTTTTTAGAGATTAAGGGCCGACCCACTTCCGATTCTGACACACCAGAATTGAATCGATATAAGGGGCCTAAGGGGGTCGGTCCTATAATGGAGTTTAAGGGAAGGCCCAACATTGCTCGTCCAAGACGCAAATATTCGAGTACAGAAAGCATGGCTACCAGCAGTAGCGGAGGTAGTATGGAGTCATTAAGAAGTAGTAACAGCGAAGGAGATAGGAGTAGCAGTAGTTCAGAAAGTCGTCATTCGTCATCGCTCAGTTCTCATAGTTCTGATTCAGGAAATGTGCCGTTTACAAAATCACATCACATGCAGTTGTCGGGGTTTGGGCACCACCCAACTAAATTACATATACTTAGCCCTATATCTGATAAATCTTCACAAGAACCAGCGTCAGAAACTTCTGACAATAACAAAAATAATAATTCTCAAAAAGTATCACCTGAGGATGGTGAAACGGGAAATACAACGATGCAGACTACTGTCGAAATTGTTGCTAAGCCTAAACGTCGTGCTTTACAAAATAGAAATCTTTTGAATCTTACATTTAGGCATTCTACAACTGGGGATGCTGAGATACAAGGTTCTGACAGTGGTATATCAATACACTCGAGAGAAGGTGTTGATTCACGAAATGCATTTATTAATTTCAAGAGTAATAACACGGATGAGACACGTAAAGACGAGGACGTAGATTTATCTGATCTTCCATTTGACATGCCGAAGTTAAGAAGGCGACGTGCGGAAGCCGAAGCTGACTTGCGATCGTTGCCATTCGATATGCCTAAACTTCGACGAAAATTAAGAGGACAGTCATTACAGTTAAACAATGATTTTGGGGGAGTTATTTCAAACGCTTCCTCTAGTCAGAGTGTTCAAGATTTAAATCAAGGTTAGTATTTCAGTATTTTTTTTTTTAAATTAGAACATAATTTGGTATATTTTGATATGACAGTGAAAGTGATTAAAAGTAGGTATATATATATATATATATATATATATATATATATATATATATATATATATATATATATATATATATATATATATATATATATATATATATATATATATCTTGATATCTATAGTGCTAACCATCATTACAAACGATGATTTATACGCACTTGTGTACTATTCCATGTACTATATACTATGCAAAAATTACTGTATAGGTTTTTCTACTAAATTTGTCTACGTAGTAATTTGCAACTAAGTTCTAATAGATTTATTATGTTGGATAGAATATGTCAGAAAGATTTACATGTCATTCTTAAGGAAAACAAAGCGGAGGGTCTGTCGACTTGTATTTTTAGTCTGTCCTAATTTGAAGCGACCACCACCGCATTATGCCGATTAAGACGTATGACTCCAGATTGCTCCACACGAAATTCTCTGGTCCAACGCCCTCCCAATATTTAATTTGCTTGAGTGCCTTTTGAGGGAACTTTTCCTGTACATGTTGGGAGCAATTTGTAAATGTTCGTTTGAGTTAAGAGTTCGAAGTTTTTGTGGATCGAGTGCGATTTGACGTATAATAAGACTTGACTTAATATACATCTAGTATCAATTTTACTACGTATCTTTCTTATTTTACTTAGATTCTTGTATAGACAACATTTTTGTATTGTTAATTTCTTTATTTTCAGGTAACAAGCATCGTGCTAAGTTGACACTGAATTTCGACAGTGGTAGCGGTGGTTCTAGCAGTTCTAAGGGATTACATTTGAATTTGGGACCCATAGTTCCGCCTCGAGATCTCGTTGATGCTTCACTTCCACTTGATAGACAGGGGTAAGTTAATTGTTCCTTTTATACTCGTAAAAGTTTAATACCTTTTCGCAGCAGTAAATTAATTAAAAATTTTGAAATGTTTAATTCTTAAAAGTGCATATATTGTATTTTATTAAGGACTTTTTCGAGTTACAGTTTATTCATCTTAGCCTTATTCCAATTATTATTTGCGATCGGCGTAGTATGTTTTTTCTTTCATTCTTCTTTATTCGTATTCACTCCCATTCTGGCCATATCATTTTGACATAGTTGATCTTGGTCTTTTTATACCTTCCTCTGTCTTTACAGTCATTTACATTCATACTTAATAATTTTTTTAAAACATGTTCCTCATTCTTATAACATGTGATTCCTGCATCAAGTGTTTATGTCGAGTTATAGTTTATTAATTGTATTTATTTTAAATTTCCAGGTGGTACCACGGAACCCTATCTCGCGTTGAAGCCGAAGGTCTATTAAGAAACGCAGAAGAAGGTGCTTTTCTAGTTAGAAACAGCGAGTCTGCAAAACACGACTATTCATTAAGTTTGAAGTAAGTATTATTTTATCGACCGCTTTTTTCAATTATAACATTGATTGATTGATTAGATATAAAGGAATCGAAAAGAGTAACTATTTCTTGTGAGTTTTTCTTAGCAGATAATATCGTTCCAAACCTAGCAGAATTTTTAAAAAGTGACTAAAGGAGCTTGTATACAATTATAAGTTTATTATGGTGTTATTATAAATCTATTTGAATTAAAAATTATATTTTGTTCTTTTCAGGTCGACTCGTGGTTTTATGCACATGCGTATTTGCCGTGGCATTGAAGGTTACACTTTGGGAGGAGCAGCGACAGCCTTTCCCACAGTTCCTGCGCTCATGAAGCATTATGTGACAGCCCAAAGACTACCAGTAAGGGGAGCAGAACACATGGCACTTTCTACTCCCTTGCAGGCTGTTCTACTATGAGCAGTTTTTGGCTGGATTTTTGGAACAATTAAAAGCGCAATGGACTTGCGAAAACCACTTGATGTTAGAATGGTCGTTAAAACGTATCGGACAGTAGTCTTGGAAGCGTTCTATGGATTTTGGTAATAAAGAAAAGCACAATGAATAAGTGGGAGATAGTTTTATTATATGTATAGCTTTAGAAGACCCAAGTAAATATTACCAAAGAGTTTCAAGATACACTTGACGATGATTGTGTTGAGAATTTAATGCTTCTTGTAAATTTTAAGGCGGATTTGCACTGCTGTGCAGTATGTTATGTATATGCTAGTCCAACACCGCAGCAACCTGTATAGATGACGTATTATTTATTCGCATATAATCATATTCAGTGTTTATTTCGTGATAGTAATAACCTATATATTGGTATTGATATCTATTTCTGTTAAGTACTTATGCTTGGCATTATTCATTCATTATTTATCTTAGAGTATTATCATCAATGTAATAATTTTTAATTAATCAATGTTATTGCTGCATGTACTAAGAATGACGCAGATGATAAAGTCCATAAACCTATAATTGTAATCTGCATTTTACAATATTGTATTCAGATATTTCTTATGAATCACCATATCTAAATGGACTTGATTTGTTTGTGACTGTGTAATATACTAATGTTATTTATTTTTTAAATGTGGCCTAAATTTCTTGTTTCTTGTATAAGTTGTGATAGTTGTGAATCAGTCAGAAAATTTCTTTCAATTATAATATACCTATAAAATGCTTAACATACGTATTACATGTTTACAATTCACAATGATATTCAACAAGGTTAAAAGATATTAATTTGCAAATGGCGGTATTAACATAGCAAACAATTTGTATAGTATATTATATTATATGAAGATGCCATAAATAGAGCCTTAATACATAGGTAGTAGGGTTTACATTGATAATTGGAGCGCAAATTATAAAAATACATAAGTGACTCATCCACAGGTCGCGCAGTCACGGAAACAATATCGATTTTAGTACAAATTTGTACACAAATGACTGTTAAAATTATCCGTCTATAGTCAAGTTTATAAATGAGGACTTTTTTCTACTTTGTAAATCACGAAAGGTTGTAGTTACTATGGAAATAATTAAATTTGCCACGAATTTATTTTGAAATCGTCGGCATGCTTATAGCATGACTTGGCTTGTTGTATTCAAATTAAACTTGACTCTAGATAAAACATCGTCTCATGTTTACAGCAATGAATCAATATAATATAACATTTGATAGCAGCTTAGATATGTCGCCATAGAATAACGTAAATAGTAAATTACTATTTAGAAAAAATCGGCCAATATGGAGGATTAAAAATATAATTATAAATGTCATAGCTTTCGTACAAAACATTTAAGGTTTTATTTAGTTAAGTAAACCTAACCCCAGTAATGATAATGGCACATAATTATTAAAGATCATAGAAAAGAATTGCACATGTTATGTAACGAACACATTGACTTATTTATATTTTTTGTTATAATAGACATAAGTAGGTTTATTGATAATATTGGGGCCCTTGCTATTTATAAATATTAGATTGTTCCCTTCGCGATGCGATATCACTAGGATTTGATTATAACAAATGGTAAGTTATGCTACAACGATTTTTCACAGACACCTAGTAATATCGACAGCGAACGGAATAGTAGGCACTACATTATTTTCTGTGATTTGATTTTAATAAGATAAAAGCCAAAAACATTTCGTAGGACACGTTGTATTCGTTGTGGTATATGCTTTATTCGTTCATAAACCATATTAGTGTACCAATTGTGTTGTTATTAATATAATAATAAACCACGATCTCATTGTAATCTTCCTCTGGTTGATTGAGTTACCTTAGTGTTAATTTGTATTGATTTGTACCTGATTTAAGTGAAAACATAATTCGTGACTTAACAGATTTATTTTGTTATATAAATAATTTAGACTTGATAGTAATGTTTAATCCGTAGATATGTATGGGAACGAGCAAATTTCGAGGCATGTGAGATTTCTGATAAGTATGTACGTAATATACTAAACCACCGTAAAGCAGCTTGCTTGCGCGAGCATGCAACTAATTTTAATATTATGATTTAATATAGTTTAATATAAGTAATAGAACTTATATTACGGGAATTGTTTCAAGTGAAAAATCATTTTTAAAACAACAAATTAAACTAATTTGTAAAGAAGATTATTTTACTACTAAATTAAACAGGAAGAAATATTTTCTGTTGACTCACAAAATAAATCGGAGGTTACAAGAATAAAGACTGCTTACCTATTAATGAAAGATGGTATTTTATCTTTTGTAAAACAATTCCAGTAATAAAGTTTTCAATTTTAATATGTAGTATTGCTTAATGGTATGTAGGTTAAATGTTTTGGAAGAAAATGGAAGTTTCGGAAACGTGTCAAAATTTTTTCAAAGAATGACTTAGGTCTGGGTCTGACGTTAGGTAAAATTATAGCTTATAGTAGTTATAATCAATTGTAATTTTGAAGGTGTAGTTTGAAATTGACGATGAAATAAATTCCTTAAAAAATATTATGTTGTTTTAATTTCAATCTGTTCATTAAAGTATTTAATGGTCCTTATACATGGAAGAATGGCAACAGCTGATAGTAGTGTAAGAAATACAGACAAATTAAAATTTTATATAATTATAAAACTTTAGTTCTGTTATGAATTTGTTATGAGAGAAATATTTTCTTTTTTTACTATTTAGATTTCCTGTCTGTTATATTTAGAATGAGTACAACAGTGTAGTTACATACTGAAAAAGATTGCTAAGATTTTTTATTTATAATATTCAGTTACGTGAGTTGAACAAAGATCGTCCACAAGGTTCTAAATAAAGGTATTTTCTACGAGTATATAAATCTTAGTTTCCAAAGTTATCTACTGGAGTCACAGCTAAATTTTCAATACAAAATCGACGTAAAAAGTTAACGCAATAATAACGTAAAGTTTTAGTACAACTCACACTAACCACAAAGTAAGAAATATATATCTACGTAAAGTCTGAATACCTAATAAAATAGTAAAAATAAAAACTGAGCTCGAAGAATAATCGTAGTCAGAAGAATAATTGTAGGATTTTGTTCCAATATCTTTGAAAAAATGTTGTTTCAATAGTAAAATATTTCCGAGGAATGATAATATAGATATATGATTTTTCTATATATATCAAAGTTGGTTTATTATTAAAAAAGTTTTCTAACTTTTTTTGAAAAACCTATTTTGCTGGAAGGAGAGGGATTGTTACTTTACTAGTAACCTCTAGCGTTATGTTTAACCTCGTTAGCAATGTACTCTGTAAGGTATACCTCTGATCGGTTTCCCCTTGGCAATCATTGTGATTCATTCTTATTATATTCGTCACAATGAGCTAATTGGCTTGATTTCATTCTCACCTATCACCTTTCACTGGTATCCCGACAGTATACACCGATAGTGCAAAAGGAGTTTATTTATTCCATTATCATCATTAAAAAATCTAGCTTGTGAGGGGGGGGGGAGGGATTGTTAGTAATGGAGACTGAGAATCCCATTGCTAGCAATATACCCAAACAGGTCGACCTCCTCGCGGTTCCCCCTGGAAATTATCATGGTAATTAACCATCTGAAGAATTCATCATGATGGGCTGACTGGCCTGTTTTCATTCTCATCTATCACCCTTCACTGGTGCTCCGCCAGCGTTAACGCAGGGTTACCATTCCATTTTCCCCCATCAAAAAAAAAATCTAGCTTGTCTGTCTGTCTATAAATATATGAATTGCTACCTAGCTGTCTACTGTAAATCAAATTTCATAACAAAACCTACTAATTTATAATATCAGTAAAAATACTGGTTAGTTAATAGCTCTGACTACGTTTTGTGTCCTGTATAGTTGTGAATTCTGCCCTTATGTATTGCACTTTCATTTCTTTTTATTACAGCGCCATCTATTGTACAAATATTGTAACTTTTTACCTCTTGCTTATCATAAGTACTTATTGGTAATATTAGTGCCATCTGTTTTTACCCTCTGTAATTTTATCTACATTTATATTTTCTTTTAAAATCGAGTATTAATAGTTAACTGACACTACAATAGGGTGCAGTATAAATAATAAATTCATTATTAATAGAATAATATATATTATATATATTACTATTTATCATGTTTTTGTTATTATTGCCTTTTTTTTAAAATGATAACAATATGATCATTTTTCATCAAACTATTATTAAAAAAATACTACTGGTAACAAATTAGTGCATGGTTTGGCTTTATTTTAAGGCTTTATGAACTCTGGTTTCAGTGCCACTTATTAGTAATTTTTAATTTTTTTCTATAATGAACAAAATGATCTATTTATGAATACATAGTATATAACTATTATATATAATATGACATATTTATAAATACAGCTGCTTATAGAATTCTTATTCTATTCTAACTCCTATCCGGTTGGTAAGGATATAAGAATGATAATATATCAAGAAATTAAGCCTCTTAACTCAAAAAAATTAAGTCATTCACTATCCTATATTTTTGTTTATTTATACAAATTTGATTCGAATAAGAATAGTAGCTTATAAATGGTAAAAGTAACGGACATGCCTGAATACACTGTATTGCCCATGATACCTATGTGGGGTATACTTGAGAACTAAGTTGTTATGTAATTTTATTTTTCCTGATTGTAAGTTTGTGTCTATTTATATCTTTTAAAATCAAATAACATTCCCTTGTTTCTGCCTATCTTGATGGAAGACAGGCGTGACGGATATAAATGTATGTATTTCCTTATTGTATTAAAATACATTTATCTAATGTCAAACAGTTGCCGGGTATTTCTGTACATTATAAAGGTTGACTGATAGAGAATGCCTGTAACATTAACTCTTATACAACATTTTATAAATAAATGTATCAAGTAACACATTTTTTCATTAATTTATGTACCTGATTTATTGTTTCTTACCAAGATAAGAACTATACTATCTCTGTCGAATTAAACAACACACATTTACACTGTTTAATGATTTCGGAGATTAGCATAACATATATTAAATTTTAATATTAAAGATTAATAAGATCAATTGTTTTAGCTTTAACATATTATTTGTATTTGTATCAGCCATTAACTGTCCGTTGGTGAACATAGCCTCCCCAATAAGGGGGATTTTGCCATTAGTTGCCACGCTTGACAGGCGGGTTGGCAACCGCAGTTAGGTTTTGGTGATGTTTTAAGAGGGACGAAAAAGAAGTGGCCCATTATATGCCGGGACCACACGGTTAAAATATTATGTTTACATATAAATATAATAGATATTTACTGTGTCGTTTTTGTCGAGAACCATTAAGACTTTCTCAGGACATTTCACTGAAAGGTTTTCTACATTTATAAATGTCGTTTCATTGTTGATGGGCTAAGAACGCTTCCACGAAACTTTTTATGACTAATCGTTTTATCTAGTTTAGCAAAAAATATAAGATTAAAGTCTAAAAGTCTAGGATGACTAAATTACTTAAATATTTTTTTATTTCAATATACGAGTAAGTTTGACTGGTGTAGAATGCCATTAGCATTTAGTTTGTCTTTTGTCATTTTCTCATTAGGTCATTCCTACTTTCATAGTTATTTTAATAAATAAATATTGTTAGGCCCTATATTAACACTTGGCATATTTAATAAACAATCAATCAGATAAACAAAACAATTAAAGAAACATTTTCGTTTTAGATAAATGTTTGTTTTATAGATTTTTATTTGGAATAAAAAACATGCCGGAATTATTTTCTGTGGTTTTTCTTACATATAGAAATTTATTAGCTTGTTTGCTATTCTAATTTGCATAACAAATTGTGTCTTATCTGGTCCTCCATGTCATTCCACTCAAATTTTTATCCCAGTTTGCACTTCTGTAGGCCAGTCAGAGAGTTTTTAATTTGAACTAAAACTTCAGTCCACTTTGTAATTATTGGATTGAATTAAAAATTCAAAGAATCTAGTATGCTAACATTTCTACCAATATATAAATTACCCCATTATAATATATTAGGCCTATATAATTTTGAAATACTTATTTTACACACGCCTTTTTTACTCTAACGTTTATTAAATAGTTAAAAAAATAACAAAAAAGATTGAAATAAGAAATGCGACTGAAAAATATGTTATTTATTTGGAGCTATATATTGAAAATTATGTGCAAGATCAAAATAATGACAAATACGTTTATCTGTGTATTTAATTTAGTAAATACTATCTATTGTTATAAATTATACTAAATACTTATAATTAAATTAATTAAGGAAAGTGTACTATATGTATCATACATATATATTGATTAATTTGGATAAATATTGCAAATGTACTTCGCCTTCCCAAAATAAAGAGCAATAATAGCGTTTATCAGTAATAAAAAATGAACAGACAAACTCAAATTTACATATATATAGTATTGGAAAAGATTGTTCGTTGAACTGTGAAATAGATATTAAATTGAACTTAAACTAAATATCTAAATAATCGTTTCTTTTTTATCTCTATATCCACTAGTATTTTTTATAGCAACTGGCTTCAATTAATAAACTGTTTCGCATAGGCGTGACCGTAGGATACAGCTCTTGTAATCAATAACTTTCTTTCTTTGCTGCAAGTTCATTTATTTACTGTAAACTTTGTTCAATTAATTATTAGGAACATTTACAAACAAAGAAAAAGGACAGAGGAAAATTTCAGATTTGTCCAACAGTGATAGATTTACTCGATTAAAAGTTCAACTTAACTCCATACCAGTTCGTTTGTTTATTTAATTAATTGTAACTCAGTCTTCACTGTTTAACCAAATACGATACTGTTCCAATATTATTATTTATAACCCAATTTGTTACACTATGTAACTAACAAAACTTCCTAGTATTGTAAACATGATAGCGAGGTTGTTTATTTTTAACATTTTGCTGTTTTACAATTCGATTGATCATTATAAATAGGTACATATGTATATAGAAAGACACTTTTTATTGTTTCTTCCGCAAGGTTACAATAGAAAGTTAGGAGAAATAAAAATTAGAAGAAATAGATCACACAAAGAAAACCTATCGCTAAAAGCGATCTTTTCCAGGAAAATTTTGTACATAAAACGATACTTTAGTAATGTATGAATTTCTGTGTATTTTATAAGTATATATACTTGTAATATATATATAGTCTACATATATATTTATATAATATATAATGTATCTTACATTTTTCTATTTATTTGCTCATTACGTTGCACCGTCGTCGTTATTTGCTCATTATGTTATATTTCCAATTATTCCTATCTACGGTTGCCTAGCAGATAACACCATATGGTGTTGTCTGCTTATTATACTGTCAAAATGATTATAACTAATTAAATTATAATCCACAAAAAAATTGTGTTTGTCTTTTTATACAAGCGGCAAATAAGTATACACTTATACAGCCCACTTGATGGTAAGCTGTTATCGTAGCCTATGAATGCCTGCAATATAAGGGGCGTGCGTGCGTGTCGCAGATTAAG